ATATTTTCAGTTGGTCAATTAATTTCTTTCTATTTTTAGTAGAGACGAGTGTCTCACTCTTGTTCAGGCTGGTTTTGAACTCCTGACCTTGAGCCATCCGCCCGCCTCGGCCTCCCAGAGTGCTAGGATTACAGGTGTGAGCCACTGCGCCCAGCTCCACCAAGAGTCTTGATGGACACAATGCCCAAAGAACACAGGAGTGCTCCAGCTAGAGACGGGGAGGCCCCTTGGAGAGCCATCTGTGCTGAGCTGTGCTTTCAAGCTCTCCGTCCGGTTAGGGGTTGGTTCGAGAAACAGCCAATAAAAACTGCCTTTGGATCAGCTGTGAGGACTACTATGGAGGATGCAGTCCTTGTCATCTGGCTCCATAAGGAAATTAAATTTTAAATCTAGTGCCTTGAAACACTGTGCCTCTCTTGAAAAACTGAGTGGCACCTTCCATTTTAAAAGTGGGTTTCACTCTTTGCCCTTATTGCTAGGAAGCTATAATCCTGTTTGATGTCAAATAAATTGCTTTTTTCCTCTCTTTGACCTTAGCTTCCTATTTCTCTTTCCTACTTTACTGTGTGTCCTCTCTTTAAGTTACCCTAAATTTGTTTAGACTGGAAAAAAGATATGAATAAAAAACATTTCAAGTATAGAAAGGTAAATGCAGAAAGTGGGATTAAAAACATTTGCTATTATTTCTCTAAAGAATTTTTCACTGAAATATCACTATACATGTTCTACCCTATTAAATATCTTTTGGCTAAATCCTGCTACACTTTAAAATATAAAATGCTTATTTTCCTTAAAAATATTTTAAATGTTTATTTTTATAATTACCCATGATTATTCTCTATTTCTATTGTCAAAAAGTATTAATCGGCAAAGTTTAGAGCAGTCGAAGACAAGAAATACCTATAAATATTTAGTTTTTCTGGAGATCACCAAGCAAAGATTTAGCTCCCATTTTCACTGTACAGAGAAATAGTTAAATAACTATTAGAAAGCCCCCACCAGGTATAAGCTAAACTCTGTGAACTGCGACAACAACAATAAATGACCTAAAAAGGAAAGCATCACATTTTTAGCGTCTCTAGCAGGAGAGGGCTGACGAATGGAAAACTACTGAATGGTACGAAATCAGTCCAATTGCCACCGGAAATCAAAATGCCAACAGAAATAAAACTTTAATTGCCAGCAGTAAAGTGGTCCCTGAAGAGCATCTCAACATAATTAGTATATTTTGAAAAAATGGCTAAATCTGGCAAACGGAATTCGTACTGTGAATTCTCAGTCAAAGGGCATTTAGAATCATCACGGGTATCAATGCTGTTCTTTGAAAGGCACCATAAATGGTGCCTGTATCACCTGATCAAATGTGTAATGAGACATTAACTAGAAAAAGTGGCCAGGCATAAGGGGACATCAGGAGGCAGGTGGGCAAGCTGAAACCCACTTGCTATTGTGGCATCAAGGTGAGACTTGACTGCTTCAGCAATGAACCTGAATATGTTGTTTCCCTACTCATACTTATAGGTGTTGAGACTATATATTTTGCTGAGACTATATTCCAGGGTTAGGGTTTTGGTTTCATCTTCAGTACAGACTACAGGGAACTCCGGCTACCCATTACTGGCAGACCTGTTAAAGGAACGTGAGGGCCTTGGAAAGCCACCTTGAATTTTAACACTATTCGGAGAAGGTGCTGGACTCACCATGGACCCCCTAAGAATACAGTTTTCAGGAATGTCAAATCGAGGGAAAAACGAGGGAAAAACAGTTACCTCTGTCTTGCTTCAAGGAACAATAACAGAGAACAAAGGAAACATCCAACCTGAAAGTACTTTTCTGGATCAAGGGCAGAAGACATAACTGCTTTACTTAAGGCTTAGAAACTAAACATTGTCTTAAAGATCTTCCAATGAGAGGGTATAATTTGAACCCTGTAAAGCCTTTTCTTTTTGCTCCTAATTTCAAAAGACTGCTCTCTGACTGTTCTGTAGCAGTAAACATCCCCCACCTCTGGACTGTCCAGACTCCTCTGTTTTAGTCCGAGTCAGCTCACTAATTTCACTTCAAAAGAGGATCACCCCCCGCCCCAACACACAAACTGAGCGACCAAAGGCACATTTACACGAATCTGTCGCCTCTTTTTCATGATCACTGCAGTGGGACAAGCCATGTATCCTCATACGACCACCATCAAAGAGTCCTGAAATTTGAATGCTATGTAATTTTCATGTGGCACAAAATAGTCTTCTTTTAATTTTTTTTTTTTCAGCTATTTAAAACTGTAAAAACCATTCTTAGCTTGCAGGTCATACAAAAATAGGCAGTGGGTTGGACTGGGCCTATGAGCCATAGTTTGCTGATCCCTGGATTAGACCAAAACATAGAAAGTACTTTACTGAATATTTTATTTTATATAAACTTCTATGATTATGTGACTTGGGCCTCTTTCTTTGTCTCTCTCATTTTAATTTAAAATATATTTCACTTAATTTATCTCTTTTATTCATTATAAGGATTTTCTTGCATCTGCCTTTGGTCAAATTATCCTTCATATATATGGTTGTTATTTGCCTAAATATCTGGATGTTTACATGATACATAATATTATACTTGCAAGGCCAATTTGTCTAGAATGTCTGGGTATTATAATTTCCCTGACACTGGACATTTTGTTCCAGAGTAAGAGGATATATTTCTCACATCTTCCAATATTTAATGCGTATGAGTGATTTACTGAGAGGAAAAAATAGAAAAAATAGTCAATACAACGACTATTCTGAAAGATGCTTATGGGCAGATGAGGTGAATATAACTTCCATGCCTTTTAAAAAGATTTTCAGACTATTACGGGGCTACAAATGTTTAGGTTACATATATTGCCTTTGCCCCACCTGAGTCAGAGGTTCAAGCATGTCCATCCCCCAGACAGTGCGTACCATACCCCATTAGGTGTGAATATACCCATCCCCTCCTCCCCCTTTCATCTGCCTGACACCCAATAAATATTACTACCATATGTGCACATAAGTCTTTTTTTTTTTTTTTTTTTTTTGAGACAGGGTCTCGCTTTGTTGCCCAGGCTAGAGTGAGTGCCATGGCGTCATCCTAGCTCACAGCAACCTCAAACTCCTAGGCTCAAGCGATCCTCCTGCCTCAGCCTCTCAAGTGGCTGGGACTACAGGCATGTGCCACCATGCCCGGCTAATTTTTTCTACATATATTAGTTGGCCAATTAATTTCTTTCTATTTATAGTAGAGACGGGGATCTCGCTCTTGCTCAGGCTGGTTTCGAACTCCTGACCTCGAGTGATTCTCCCGCCTCGGCCTCCCAGAGTGCTGGGATTACAGACGTGAGCCACTGCGCCTGACCTGCACATACGTCTTGATCAACAGCTACCAATGCCTTTTCACAAACCTATTTCTCAAACGGGAATCGACAAGCCAAACTTCTGTGTGGGAGTAAAGCTAAGTACTGGTGAGCCGAGAAATCAGGAATAAGTGTAAACTGGGAGGAAAAAAGTATCGTTGAAGGATGAATATCTTCCCTTTAGAGAAATGAGCTCACATGGAGAGTTTCCAAGGATATGGCAGAGGAGTTACTTTGGTTGGGTCTGCTCTGAGCTCTGCTGGGTGAGGGACGAGGACATTATTCAAACGTTTGTAGGTAAGACAGAAGGCACCAGGCACTCCAGACAGCTGGCTTAAAAAGAGCTGAATCTGCGGCATTTTTGTTGCATTTTCTAAGCTTGTCAGCAGTATGAACACCTAATGTCTAGGTATCTACCACACAACCACAAAAAGTAGTGTGGAAATTATCCAGAGAGTTTAGGTGAGAAAAATACAAACCATCTGGATTTTCTCCTTTAAATCTTCAGAGCAGTGTTCGCTCCCCTGGAAGACCACGTTTGCTCCCCTGCTACCATGCACTGGCCAACTTGTCTCCGCACTGCTTTTGGAGTTGATGGAAGCAGCAGCATAAAATACACACTAACTTTAAGATGAAATGGACCGCTCAGAACACAAAGTAAATTCTCTGTTCTCTATTCTAGCTACGAAATAAATTCACAGGTCCTACTCTCACTTTTACCGCTAAAAACTGAATGGAAACAGAATGTCTTGTAAGCCCATTTTCTACACAATATTTGACTTATTACAACGTAAACTCCATTTTTAGGCATACTGGGAAAAAACAAGGGTGTAAACCAATACTTCTAGCTAGTGAATTTTATTTAAATCACACATAATATGCTTTTAGAACAAGGAGAATGGTTTTCAACATGATTTACAAAAAAAAAAAAAAATCAATGTTTCATTACCTTACTAAGATCATGTAAGAGCACTCTGTAGGCGTTAATGCTTACCCCAAAAATGAATAAAAGAGAAATATCCAACTTAATTTACTTTAAAGAAATGTGGGTTGATATGATTCCATGAAAATTAAGACAAATAAACAGCAAACATAGGGAACATATTTCTAGTAATCTCTTAAAAAAATGGACAACTAAGACATTAGTTGTTACTATGACATATGGTTTCACCAAGCCTTTGGCAATAGCTTTGTTTTATAGGTACAGAGTAAAGCCATTTGCCATCTGAACAAAAGGAGAATCTTTGTTCTCTGTCATGGTGATCGGTAATAGGCACTTGAAGAGGCTGAACATCATCACATCCACCTGAGTGTAAAATGGCTGTTAGTTCGTTTAACGCATAGTTTAGTTTTCGGATAACCAGGACCTTAAACACTACGCAGAAACAATGTTACGTGCTGGTTTCTAAAAAAGAGAAAACGAACAGGAAGAAAAGAATCCTCTGTGTTTAATAGAGCAAAAAGCACTTACTCTGTGGAAGAAACCAATAAAAACCTGAAAAGTAAGCATTCTCAAAAGAAAGCTTTACCCCTATGTGTTCATACCTGGAAAAGGTCTGTAGAGTTCTAAGTGCATTAGGAGGGACAGAGAAGGTTGAGTTGCACTGGTGTTACTGATCAGAGCGTTGGTACTTACATCTTGTCTTGGCCGGCACCGACTCGGAGGGTTAATCTGGGGATAACTGGACTCGGGGCTGGGATGACTGGTTCCACTTTTATCTGTGGAAGTGAGCACAACAGAGTTCAGCAAGAGTTTTCATCAACAAGAGTACCTCCTACCTCTTCAGCTACTCTCCCATCTCCACAAACTCCGTTAAGTTTAAGCCTCAAACATGGCTAAAATGCTGCACACAAAAACAATCTGGGCTATTCTATGTTTTTGTTTCTCAACAACTGAAGATGTCTTGCCATCACTGGAAATTCTATGAACTTTAATCGCATTATGTAAATATGGTAGTAGCTTCTGTTTTATTAGTTTGGGTTAATTTCTTGAATTTAATTATATTGTTAGAATTTTTTTTTTTTTTTTTACCAAAGATTGATATCTAGATCATTTGGTGGGGCATTTAAGTAATTGCTAGATTAACATAAATAGAAAAAGTGCAATGCTATCTCCCCTATAAAAGCATTTATTTATGGTACTTGACAAACATTAAACTCCTCTTACGTTTGCATTATCAAATGAGAAAACCGAAACACCAGTATAATTACAGCATTAAACTATTCCATTTTTGGCTAGAAATAAAACAATCCGAAATGCTGTAAAAGAAAAAAAAAGTATATTCTCTTTTTAGAAAGGATTCTCAGTGAATGCAATGACTGCTCAATAAGTTGAAGACCTCACAAATATTTGAGATATTAGTCAGAAAGGGAATATACAAATTAAGCATGATGTTAAAGGGCATCTTCACAATTTTTGGTTTGGAGGTCTTATGGTACAGTACGTATTCTGAATGAAAAACTGAACAAAAGCTCTGCAGTTCCAAATTACTATCTATATCAGAGTTTTTCAATGCGGGTTTGAGTGGTGTTTTCGGTGGGATGGTTCACTGACTGTCCCAAATACTGCCAGATGTTTAACATCTCTGGTCTCGGGGTACTATATGCCAGTAGGTCACTGCTAGTCACTGACAACTAGTTGCAAACCACTGATCTATGTATTCCAAACTTAAGAATTAAATCATAACAGAACAGTGTAGTGGTTCCAAAGGGGAATGAATATATGAAATAATGCTCAATATATTACATTATAAAGCCAATATATTACACATGGATCAAATCTATTTTCTCATATGTATATTTACCTGTCTCTTCCTAGAGTTTTTTTTCTTTAAATCCACCATCGCTCAAGATCTACTGCTTTGACCATTTTCTGTTCAGGAGGTGCCCAACAGGTATTTGTGGAATTAAGAACTTATCCCACAATGCCCTCAACTCTCTTGCCTCCCGGCTATCGCATTTATATGTCAAGGACCAATCTAAAGCCACCGTCCAGAGCACTGGCACCAAAGAAAATGTTTAAAAACTTTAACGAAGGCCGGGCGCTGTGGCTCACGCCTGTAATTCCTCCTCTTGGGAGGCCGAGCGGGCGGATTGCTCAAGGTCAGGGAGTTCAAAGACCACGCCTGAGAACGAGCGAGACCCGTCTCTAACTATAAATAGAAAGAAATTAATTGGCAACTGAATATAGTAAAAAAATTAGCCGGGCATGGTGGGCGCATGCCTGTAGTCCGCGCTACTCGGAGCTGAGGCAGAAGATCACTCCAGCCAGGAGATTGAGGGTTGGCTGTGACTTAGGCTGACGCCACGGCACCTCACTCTAGCCTGGACCTAACAAGTGAGACTCTGTCTCAAAAAAAAAAAAAAAAAACTTTAACGAGCTCACTCAGATAAGGGCACAGACCTTGCTGTTTTGTTTACTACTATTTCCCAGTACCCATCATTCGGTGTGACAAATGGTAAGTGCTTAAATACACTGGAAGCATGAATATGAAGCAATGATTTCAAATCCTTACCTCTTCCAAGACCCTTCCCAGGAGCTCTTTCCCCCTTTTGCTCACCCAACACCGCAGGAAGCAAAGCTGAGGCGGGAGAGTCCTCCAGCTCCTCGCAGACTTACCAACTTTCTTCCATCCACAACTACACTGCAGTCATCCCCTCGGTCTTCTGCAGAACCCTCCTCTACACCACTGTTTGCTTACAGTACTGTCAATCTCTCCATTCCATTAGTTATTCATAGTTTATTTTTATTTTATTTTATTTTTTTGAGACAGAGTCTCACTCTGTTGCCCAGTGAGAGTGCCATGGCGTCAGCTAGCTCACAGCAACCTCAACCCTGGGCTCAAGCGATCCTCCTGCTCAGCCTCCCGAGTAGCTGAGGCTACAGGCATGCGCCACCGTGCCCGGCTAATTTTTCTATTAATATCTTAGTTGGCCAATTAATTTCTTTCTATTTTTAGTAGAGACGAGTCTTGCTCTTTCAGGCTGATTTCGACTCCTGACCTGAGCTGCCGCCTGCGGCTCGCTCCAGATGCTAGGATTACAGGCGTGAGCCACTGCGCCCGGCCTCATTTCACATTAAATGTGCTCAAATCTATCTTTAAACATTTTTTTTTTTTTGAGACAGAGTCTCGCTTTGTTGCCCGGGCTAGAGTGAGTGCCATGGCGTCAGCCTAGCTCACAGCAACCTCAAACTCCTGGGCTCAAGCAATCCTCTTGCCTCAGCCTCCCGAGTAGCTGGGACTGAATGCCACCATGCCCGGCTAATTTTTTCTATATATATTAGCTTGGCCAATTAATTTTTTCTATTATAGTAGAGACGGGTCTCGCTCTTGCTCAGGGTGGTTTCGAACTCCTGACCTTGAGCAATCCGCCCGCCTCGGCCTCCTAGAGTGCTAGGATTACAGGCGTGAGCCACCGCGCCCGGCCAATCTTTAAACATTTTTTACCTTCCCTTCAACCTGTAGCTGATAACTGCTCACACTTTTCAGTCTCCACGGCATTGTCTGTTTTTCCATTTTTTATTCATCCCTCAAGCCATGCCAGGAGGCACGGTTTCCCAGTATAAGGTTTGCCATGTTGCTCCCTCCTCCTTTACAGAGGCCTCCTCTCGCACTTGACCTCTTGTCCTTCTACACTTTCTTTAGTGATCTCATCCCTATCCATGGTTTCAACTGTGAGTCTAAAACTGGGATTGAATGCAGTCTTTTTGATTCGGAGAAGGAAAATTACATAAAGTTCCTCCTACATCCCTCGATCTTTTTTTTTTTTTTTTTGAGACAGAGTCTCACTCTGTTGCCCAGGCTAGAGTGATTGCCATGGCGTCAGCCTAGCTCACAGCAACCTCAAACTCCTGGGCTCAAGCAATCCTGCTGCCTCAGCCTCCCGAGTAGCTGGGACTACAGGCATGCACCACCATGCCCGGCTGAATTTTTCTGTATATTTTTAGTTGGCCAATGAATTTCTTTCTATTTTTATAAGACGGGGTCTCCTCTTGCTCAGGCTGGTCTTGAACTCCGACCTCGAGCATCCGCCCCCTTCCCAGAGTGCTAGGATTACAGGCATGAGCCACCGCGCCCGCCCGTCCCTCGATTCTAAAAAAATTTAGGGTTACATATTCCTAAGTGATGAGCTATTAAGAATAACAGTTCTTATTTCTTCAGCTGACAATACTATTAATATTTAAGTATTCAAACAACCTTTTCTTAAGCTCTATTTAAAAATAAAGTGTTTGCCCTGCCTTAAAAAGAAATTCTGCTTTACTATTATTTTCCTTTGCACTGTGTGTTTGGCTTACACCTTATAACTTACACCTGTACAGCACTTAAGGCAATGTGTCCTATATACATTATCCAACATTATCCTCATAGCTCTGTAAGGTGGGTACGGCTGGTATCATCATCCCCATGTAATGAGGGTTCAGAAAGAATAAGTGGCTTGTCCAGAGGTACAAAGTTGGTAAATAAATGCCCAAATCCAGGTCTCCTGACACCAAGTTCCTTCTGTCCTAATACATTGCTCCTTCACTCTCTAATATGTATTTTGTGTCCTTTTTTTGGTAATGCACATCCTACATGGAGCTGTTCCCTTTTTTTGCCAATGTCTCTTATGATAGATGGTACATACTTGTGAGATGGCTAGGGTTGGTTGTAAAATATTTTTCCCTCTCTGCAAGGCTGACTAGTTTATATGGAAATTGAGCCTAACTTTGGCATCGCCTCCATTCAGTGGAACTACCTGGGTTTTCAAGGCTGTCTTCAATGGCTTGGCAGGGCAAGGGGATCCAGATAGGGTCTATTATGACCTACTGTAAAAAAAAAAAAAAAAAAAAAAGAGATGCCCCTGACAGTGGATGGGAGAGCTACTAATTACACCACGTAATGGGTGTGAACTGGTATTGTCTCAGGAGACCCAGGACATATGGCAACCCTATCTAAAAACCATTTAACTACCTTAATTTCATTCCTAAGGAAGTTAAATCAGATTTAACTTGAGAACCTTTTGATGAAGTGTAGAAAAAGATTAACAAGAATGCTAATAATATATCAAAGGCATAATTTCTAAGTAAAAATTTCTTCCCAGATTTTCATCTCCATTAACCTTATCTGAACGGCTACCAAAATAAAAACACGGAGACATTTCCTACAATGCTAAAATGATTTCTCACGTGTTCTTCCCAGAAAACAACCAAATTAAATGACAATGACTTCAATTGCTTGGACAACACAGCTCATGCCACCTCTAAAGGGCACGAAGCCAAAATCCAGGGCCAACGTTAGCCTTTAAGGGTTAAAATAAAAGAACAGCACTTTGGAGTAATGCTGAGAATTGGGGCACGCAGAAGAGCATTTACAGTGGATTACTAAGCTTCCCAATTCACCAAAGAGGTAAAGTCCAGCAATGTAAGACTCCTTTGTCGCTAACTAAAAATACATTGTCAGTGGATTTGTCCAGTTTTATGTATAAGCAATACTTCTTTCACCTGAACTAATACTAGTAGTCATATAAGCCCCTTATTGCCATGTGCTGCATTTTTTTTGTTAATCTTCAAGGATTTAGCTTCTTTGCCACATACCTCAGGGCACCAACTGATAAAGCTCTAACTCTCCATTTTTCCAGGACACCAGCAGTGCGGCCTTGCAAAAAATGAAAATCGCTCAAGAGATTTAAAGGGGAAATTTATTTTTAAAATCCTGACTTGAAGCAAAGAGGTGGATTTT